GGAAAGAATGCGTGCGACTACGCCAAAAATAAAAATCTCTCACTTACGTCACTACCTTAGGTACCTCGTGCAATTTACACATCGGTAAAAAAAAGAAAGAGAGAGAAGAGAAAGAGAAAGAGAGTGAAAGGGGAATATGTAACACATTATTTACACTGTATTGCTTCCACATAAATTATTAAGAGATAATTTGATTCAATTGACGTACTGCGATATTTCACGGAGACAGAGAATGATAATTAACGTTTAGATCCTCGTAATTGTCACAAGTTACCACTTCGTACGAACGCAAATAGTGTAACGACGTGCCCATAGCGCGTCCTGGATTAGGATCGCTCTAGAGAGGCATTATAATAATATTTTTGTTTTTAAATTTATATCCGTTCTTTGTCTCTCAACACCCGAGCCGCATCCCCGCCTCAATTTTCTTAATGGAAAGTGGTTGCATCCTCTTTTATCTTTATAAGAATTTATCTTTATTTACCTTTATAAAAATATATGTAGAACGTAATTAATTAGTTTCATTACCTAAACGCCAAGATAAAAAAGATAAAACATAAAACATTCGCATAATCGTCGTCACGCGATAGGTAACATCCAGGAGCAAGATTCTTCCATCACATCTTTTTAGGGCCCATTAAAATCCGTCTAATTTAATCTTTTTAAGTTTTTAATTTATTAATGTTGCAATAACAACAATTAAAAAAAAGGATTAAAAGAAACTAACAAAAGTACTTTATACTATTTATGAATATTGAAATATCTGCTTTTAGAATTAAATTGAATTCTCTCCCATTGGAGTAATACAAAAAAAATAAACAAAGATCAATTTCTTTAATTAAACTTAATAAATAAGTCTGATAAATTGCTTTTCGTATTATATTTGAGACATAAAAAATTCAGATTTAAATACTGTTTCAAGAATACTAAAAACTTGACTTCACAGAGACCTGTCAGTTGAAAATTAATTACTTCGTGCAAGATTTGCAATACGAAGATTTAGTATCGACGCAGGCACGATCCTAAAATTAATTCCTGCTACAGTTTGGCACGAACGGTACCGGCAAACACGAATAACTCCTCAGTTCTTCCTTATCGATACCTAATCTACTAGACATATTTAGAAAATTTGCCATCCCTTAAAAGAATAATACGCACAGCGTGTACTTCACTCTCACGTGCAATTCACTCAGGGTCCGCAAAGCATCGCCACCATTCACCGCCTGCCAATCAAGGTCAGTCTGCACATACTATTGTAACAAAGGGATGCATCGAGTATTACAACTCGATGACGTTAGATGCGCCCAAATGTATTACTGATCACATTCTATCGATGAACATTTGTAAATAAATTATTATCTCACAATTCTCCTTAGGTTCAGACTCCCGTGAGGGATGATCCGAATAGTTCAAAGACCAATGATAATGAGATACCCCAGCCTCAACCGCCACCTTCGACGCCCATCAAAACTCGTGGCGCTGTGTCACCCTCGCCTGTCGTGACACCCCAAGCTGTTAGAAGTGGACTGGCCAAATCTCCGGAAGCCACGACGCCCAGAAAGCAACTCGTGCAAGAAATGGAAAATTCGACGAACGAACACGTGTCCGCAACACCTTCGCCAGATGTGACACACGGCAGGAGCACGCCGAAAAGTCGATCATCGGGAAGATCGCCGACTTCCCCACGTCCACCCAGCAGCCTGCGCGTTAGATCTGCCGGCGACGAATCCTCCCCTGGTACACCTAGAAAAACATCCCCTGGCACACCCAGTAGAACATCCTCCGCAGTATCTAATAGAACATCCCCCGGTACACCGAGGAAAACTCCATCCCCCAAGGATCTGCGTCTTCCGAAACTCGCGTCTTCGCCGGTACCACGAAAGGCAAATCCAGCAGTTACCGAAACTCATTCGAAAATCACTTTACCAAAGTTGATCGAGTCATCCTCTCAATCTACCCGGATGGCATACTAGTTATCAACTCAAAAACGCGACGGGCTTTCCAGCTTTACTTTAGTAGGGCAGAATGCTGTAGATTCCTCATACTCTTGAAGTTTCGATTTTCCTTTCTTGGGTTTTTTCTCAACAAAAAATTAATTTTTTTTGTCACATTTGTATTTAAACATCAAAATTAAATAAGTAATATAATACTGTTTGCAGTAAACTTTGAATCATAATTAAAATTTGAAAGTTTGAAATCAAAATCTGAACAAATCTGAGAAATAAAAAAATTCTTGATATTAAAAACTCGAATATGAAATAGATTAGGAGCATTGTGTTTATCTTATAAAAATAAACGCAAATTAATTAATAATTTAGAAAAAATAATAAGAAAATCATAACAAATTTCACTTGTTACAATAAATTTTTATTTTTTATTGGGTAATTTAATTCTAAATGAATGAAAAATAAACTTTTCTATTCTAAAATTAATTTTAATTAAATATCAAAAATTGGTTCGAAAATAAATAAAAATTTAAGACAAAACGAAACGAAAATTTACAAAAAAATTTGCAAGTTTTATTTCTTCAATTATATCACATAATTTCTAACTTTAAATCTTCGTCTTTATAGAAAATTTAAGATGAGTTTTGAAAAATGTTAGCATTCATTAAATATGAGTGAATATTAATATTTCTATATTATGCATAATTACATTTCATTTTATATTATTGTTCCTGTATCAAAAAGGAAATTGATCAAAATTTTATTATTAGCTTTTAACATTATATCATAAACTAAAAAAAATGTTTTAAAAATTTTATTATTAATGACATGTAATGTAAACGACGCACAATTTTTGAAAAAAATATATATATAATTATTAAAAATATTATATTCGCATTTTTTGTGTAATGGAGTAAGAAATGAGGAGGATATGAAAAATACTGAAAAATTAATATATATATATATATATATATATATATATATATATATATAATATATAAGATTTAAAGAAGTAAAAATATATATATATATTTAGACTTATTCATGTACTTTTGAACACACTGTCAGTATAAAATTATCTCCATCGAAAATTATTTTACATTTAATAGAAACCTATAAAAATACATTATTTCAAAATATCAACCATAAACCTATGTCAGTTTTTCTTTGGCAGTGGAGGTGGAACTAATTTAACTCCAGTGAAGTAAGAATGACACAAACCTTTTCTTGCCGTTATCCTTTGATTAGGATCGTACGTCAGCATTTTCTAGAAGTATAAAAAAGATATATGTATACGTAAGCGTACGTTTCCACGGAATGGATTCCATGGGTTTTCTCTTACTGTAAGTAAATTTTTGGCATCGTCCTCAAAAGCGGGTAAAGCATCATCTAAATTAGTCGTCTCCCATCTTGGAAATCTGGATGTGTAGTCCGGAAGCTGTGACACTCCTGGCCAAATCGTCTCATCCGGTGTACCGAGCATACGAAATATCCTAAACAACTGATCTATTTCGGAGTCCCCGGGAAACAGAGGCCTCCTGGTGGCCTATAAAGATCGTATTATCTCGCAGAAACCACGGGTTTTATATTACTCGGTAACTCTTGCGCAATTTTCACATACCATTTCCGCGAATATACAGCCGAGACTCCATATGTCCAGCGCACAGGTATACAATTTGGTTCCTAGAAGAACTTCCGGTGCGCGATACCATAGCGTGACAACCTCGTGTGTGTAAGTGCGAACAGGAACTCCGATCATTCTGGCTAAGCCGAAATCGGCCAATTTTATATGACCGTCTCGATCTATCAGTAGATTCTGCGGTTTTAAGTCTCTGTGCAATATACAACGTAGGTGGCAAAAGGAAATCGCTTTCAGTAATTGATAGAGATAGCTCTGTAACACAAATCGCCTTGTTTTCAAAAGAACACATATACGTTAGGAATCTGGTAGCGGTGAACGCGGCCAAGATTTATTACCTTGACGAGCGCTGGTTCCAGGCCCCCCTTAACGGAATCTAACAATTTTTTGAGATCCTGTTGCAAAAACTCGAACACGAGGTACAGATGACTGTTGCCGTCTACGACATCGAACAACTGTATGATGTTTGGATGAGCAAGATCTTTCAATAACGATATCTCCCGAATGGCGGTAGACGGAACGCCTTCCCTTTCCCTGATTTAAAGTAGCACTATTTAATTTAGCAAAATTGAGTACCTGATAAATATACTAAAAAGGAATGAATATTTTATTCTTCATAGAATTTTAATTTTTTTAATGTTTTTCACTCAGGAAGTTTACTTATAAATACACATACAACATTTAAAACATCAAAGTTGCATCGGTGAAACAGACACAAATATAATGTAATATTAAATCCTGTTAATATCTGTGTATACATATACGATTGAAAAATTTGTACATTTTTATTAAATCTAAATCTCTTTATTAAATCATTTTTATTAAATCTATTAGTTAAAATTTTTTTATGTTAAATATTTAACACATCTATGAAAAATTTAAATTTAATATATATCTATTAACTGGATTTATCTAATTTAAAACATAAAGTTATTAAAATAATTTTGAAGTAATATATATTTATATAAAGTGGAATAAAAGATGGATGGTTCGAACATTGTTCAACGCTCTAATGAAATATATTTTATATATATATATAAAATTTAATTATTTTTTTATATAAATCATCAGATGTTATTTTAAAAGCTTGAATATTTTGTCTACAAAAGATAGAAATATTTTTTATTCGAAATTATCTTAATATAAAAAATATGTTAATTTTAGACATTATATTCACATTACAGTAAAGATTATATTTATTTTCTATTAAAATATTAATATAATATTAGTGCCATTACCTGTTTATATAAAAATTTTAAATAGATTACTTGACACATATGTGTATATTAAAATTTAACACAAATTTTTCAACAGTATATTAATAAAAAAGATTATTTTTAATGAAAATACTTTAATTGTAGAGAATATATACCATATATATACATACACACATAACAGTTATTATCCCAAAAATAATCCTAACGAAACATATTTTATTAAATTATAAGTAGTGTATTAAATAAAAAAAAATACCAAATCAAAAACCAGGCGAGCATGGCATAATGGGACAAGCTGAATAATGTGGTGCTACGAAAATTAGTGTAACGTGGCCCCCGCAGATTCAGCTGACCCCAATATGCAGATTGTTAGCAGTGTGTTAGCAGTGTGCACAAGCAAAAGCCCAGCTGATATTGCAGTTCTGCAAACTGATAATTTTTAACATATATGGGTAAAGGCCGAAATTAATTTAATCGGGAGTAAATTAACGACGCGTATCTTAAACATTACTTGGTTTACCTGCTGTTAAATTTATAAAAGTATCATTAAAAATTTAATATTACATCACCAAATTATTCTTATAATTTTACCCTTAAATAATGAATAAAATTAATAATACCTATTCTTATTATAATTTTTAAGGATAATTGATTGATAATTGAATTATAAATATAATATTTAAACCTATATTTAAAACTATAATTAAAATATAATTTTTTGTAAAAATAATTTAAATACTATTTTCAAGCTCCAATTAATGTTTTTATATAAATATTATTTGTAAAATGAGAACATATAATGTTTTATTAAAATAGTATTGTTTCAAGCATTAAAAAAAAAAGAATGGAATAATGGAATGGAATAATAATATATATAGCTATGGAAATTACATTCCAAGCTAGATTAATAAAAGCTTAATAATCATATGTTACATGAATCTACATATAAACTATAAAAAATTAAGAATATAAATATATATGTATTTTTCTTTAAAAAGCATAATTGGTTAAATTAAGAGTTAGTATAATATTAATATATTTATTGTGTGATTAAATATATGAGAAGAGGAGAGAAAGAGTAAGAAAAGGGAAGACAAAATATTCTTTGCGTATTCTTATTTTGATACATATTCAAAACTGTAAAAAAACAATGAATGTTTATTTTATCAACATCTAATTTTAATCTCAGTTCAATTTACTTTTCATCTTTTTTTGATTCTTAGAATTGAAGAAAGGTAAAAAAATAAGTTAAATTGAGATAAAAGTTGATCAACTTTGATAAAAGTGGAAACAAAGATATAATATAAAATTTCTTGAAAAAACAATTTATAATTGACTATACCATATATCATATAATTTCCCATTTACTTTCATCCTGATTCTATCGAGGCAATTTCTAATCGCAAGATCATTATCACCTCAAAAACCCTTTCAAAAATAAGTTTCATTTGACTTCAACATTTTCTAGAATACACTTGCCGAGATTTTAGTTCAAGTCAGAGCCTGCGGATCATCCTGGTACACATTTACAAGGTAACATTTTCCACAGGCGGAAGAGACAGAGAGAGAGAGACAGAGAGAGAAAGAGAGAGAAAGTAAGACAAAGAAAAAGAGGGGTGAGAGGAAGAGAGAGAGAGAGAGAGAGAGAGAGAGAGAGAGAGAGAGAGAGAGAGAGAGAGAGAGAGAGAGAGAGAGTACGTAGAGTAGAGTAGTAGAGTAGACGTA